ATATCTACTCCGTGCAGTAAAGTGTACCTGATACATCCGGCTTGTGTGGTTCTCCTACCTGATTATTTAAACCTGAATAAACTGTCAGCACGTTTCTCAGGAGAAGAACCTAATGACTACAATGTCAATGTAATGATCACATGACACAGCCTCTCTGAGGGTTCTGAAGGCCCATTGAGGCTCGGTCAATGCTGCACCTTTTATATTCTGACATAACCTCTGTCCCTATGTCATGTCAATCTAAATAAATTGAATAGGTACTTGGTAGAGTGGTCAGAGGCATACAAGCTTGTTTTACGCCGTAACACCCTTTCCAGATCATTGCCATTTCAATCTGTGGCACTATGATTGGTCGATCGGTGAGTCTCATAAATATCGTGTTTCATTGTGTGGAAGTCAATTAGTGTTGAGCCTATTCTGATGTCATTTCAGGTAGGAATCGTTATGTGCTACTTATCATGCATTGGGAAATTTTATTGATTTTCCTATTCAAGTATTTTCCCAGGCTCCGTAATTCGTAGCTAAACACAGTATTTCTCTGAAAAATCCCACGGTTCAACTGTTTATACATCAATTGACAGAAGCAGCTTCCATATCTTATCACAGGCATGAAAACAGGTCAGGGGTGAAAAAGGTGAGGAGGATATTACCCCTATAGGGGGGTCCGGGGGCATGTTCCCCCATATTACCCCTATAGGGGGGTCCGGGGGCATGCTCCCCCGGAGGAAAATTTCAAAAATTCCACATGTGAAAGACCTTTGTAGAGAATATAAAGTAAATTGAGGTTTCCAAGTGATTTCACGAAAAAAATAGATTTTTACTATTTTTTATGTTTATTAAACATCTCTTACACCATTTCCTTAAAAAAAACAAAGCAGTGCAAAATGTGGGTGTCCTCTATAAAACAATCTGAAAGTGGTTTGAAGTTTCAAGGCCAAATGGTAAAACAGCTACTGAATTCATAACTTTAAGACTTGGACTTTATTGACGGTCCCTAACTATAAGCAAACGGAGGTTTCTGTCGGTTGATCACCACGCTGTAGTGTGGCTGCTTGCCCTGTACTTTTACTTTATTGACGGTCCCTAACTATAAGCAGACGGAGGTTTCTGTCGGTTGATCACCACGCTGTAGTGTGGCTGCTTGCCCTGTACTTGTACTTTATTGACGGTCCCTAACTAAGCACACGGAGGTTTCTGTCGGTCAATCACCGGGTGTAGTGTGGCTGAGTGCGGGGAAACCGGACCTGATCTCGGCCCCCGAATATCCAATATCCAACCAACTTTACCTCGGTCTGAGATGAAACAAATATATTGGTTCGGGAATTTCTTACACTATAAAAACTAACCTTGCTGGAATGGTTTAAATTATGCGCAATCCCCGCACCGAAATTCAAGCCCTGCAGATCTTTAGCTGGCTAACATTGCGTTCTCTCCTGCTCTGTATAATGCAGGTTGCCAACTTTGGGACTCCGGCTGGAGTGAGACTCGTTTGGTGAACCTAACCCTAATTAAAAAATATTTAAGTCCTTGGTTACTGTGTATAAACCCTGATTTAGGCAAAATAATAATATAATGATGGCTGATGTTTTTGTTCTTGCAGAACCATATTTCTTGGCAATTTTAGAATCGGGAAAGCATTCTTTGAATAGCGGGCTGAGGTGATCTGTGAAGGCTAATGGGATGTTGTGGCTGACCAGGGTCACTGCCACTTTGACCTCTGCCCTTCTAGCCTGTAAAACAATTATGAGTTTACATGTGCAGTAGAATATGCATAAATAAAGCACACGCATTAAGAGATTGCATTCAAATTATCACCTGAGTGACCAGATTCATTTCTTCAGCCTTCAAATAATCTATCAATTCTTTTGGTGCTGTCAATAACTTTTTGTTTTTTGATGTGGCTCTCTCTAGTGATATGCCGCTGCACATCTGCCCTGCCCTGCCCTGGTGCCTGCACTCTAACTCATGCCGGCAGACTTCACACCAAAAGTGAAATTCAGTCGTGCCTGGTTTTATGAAAGGCCATTCTTTACACCAGGCACTGCTACATTTGGAGTATTACACAGCGGCCCCTGACTTTTCTTTTCTGCTGGATAGAATGCTCTTTGCTAGCATCTTCCTTCTGCTCCTGCACCTCCTTCTCCTCCACTACTTCCTCTATCTAAAAAGGTAGGCTGTTAAAACCTTCAGCTTTAAAATGCCATGCTAGCCTAATCATAACACAGTATACATCTTCATTAATTACATGCCTAGATGTTCCTGTGCTAACATTGGTAAGACATGTTGAGTTGTGGTCGGGTATTAGGTATAGGGCACACTGTCCATATTTTAATGAATAGGGTAGCCTAAGGTAACATATGTATTTTTGCTCAAAAAGAAAAAAACAACTGAACATAATAAATTATGTGACAAGCTTACCTGCTGAAGCTCTTGACTTTTCTCTCCATGTCCATCTTTGAAATAGCTCAGCAAGCTCATCTAACAAAACGTAATTTCTACCATGAGCCTATTTTTATTAAGCTATCAGCTAGCCCACATAACGCACGTCAGACAACGTTTGCAACTAAAGTTTAACTCTCCGCACACAGAGTCTGTTAAGGCAAGGCAAGGCTGTAGTGACAATGCACACCATTTTATTATCTGCTTACCTTGATTGTCATGCAAACTTTTAATCGCGCATCAGTTGGATCGGGCTCCTAACCATATATCTGAACTTTTCACACGCAACTGACGTATCCGGTGACGTATCAGGTTCAAAGTTTCAGCGAATCAACAATCAGAGAATATTGCAATGAGAACGTTGTAGACAGAATATGTTACGGCTGAGGGCTTTAACCTCCTCTCCTGTTAATACGATGTGGTCTAGTCTGTCATTAACAGAAAATTAGCGGATTGAAAGGGGAGAATTTAGATTTTGGCCTGACATTTCTTGCTTGTGCGTGAGAGCGTGAGATTTATGCTTAAAACGGGAGACTCACGCCAGATGCGTGAGAGTTGGCAACCCTGTTAATAATGACTCAATTCATCAACCTATATATAACGTTAGCTAAGCCTATCGCAACAGAGCTTCTGAGTTACTATTGAAACCATCACTCACCAAATTCAGTCGATTAAATCGCGAAGGCAATCAGGTAACGGTATTCTCCCTCCTTCCCAAAGAAGTAAACTAGTGATGCAAGACCCTTTGCGCTAATATTTTCATGCACTCGCGCACCTGTTCGTAGTTCACAAAATCTCTGGTACCCCCCCCCCCCCAAAGATTTTCTCATTGAATCTACACGATTCACGTAGGTCACCTATTCTGGTGAATACTCTCCCCAAGTATTTCTTGTGATTGGACATTCTCCCCCACACTCTCCCAGTGACCACCGCCATGTCATGCCACCGTTATGATGGAGGGAAGACCGATCGATAGTGAAAACGGGGAGACCCGCAGCTTGGAACCAACCTTGGTGGTGGTGGTGGTGTGGAGTACAGGACGGACAAAAGTGGCCTTGACCGGCGGGAACGTTGAACACTACAGACTCCGCCCGCCCGCTCTGTCCACCATCCATCCCAACTCCTTACGATCCCGATCTCGGACAGGGCTCCTGGTTCACCTCGTCACACATTATTTCCCGGACTCTGGTTAAGAGGCTTTATGGCTTTAGGTGTCAGACTCACTGACAACCCCACGGGAAGACTTTGCGTTGCCATGGCGTCGGCTAAAAGGTACACGAACGGATAACGGTAACGTGGTTACAAAAGCTCCTCCTGAGACATGATACCGTGTCACCACAGAGTTGATCAACATCTCACTGACACGTAAGAAGCACAAATTTGATCGGTTTGAAAAGGGATGTCGTGGTGACGTTTTCTTAGCTCCGTGTGAGCCAGCTGGTGGCTACGGGTAGAAGCACAGGAACGCCTTCACTGAACGCACTAACGGCCCATTATAATTGGCCTCGGCAGGGACAGAGACACACTTCACGATCACTTCAACCGTGTGGAAAACGTAACCAGACACAGAGGAGATAAGAAAGGTACAGGGCGAAAGCACAATATTAGTTAGGATAAAGAGTGAAGATAAGATGCCACTGTGAGGCGTAGAACGTACGAAACGAACGGAAAGAGATGGAACAGAAGATAGAGGGAACAGAAGAGAGTGTGAAAGCCGGCAGTCAGCCTCTGGTCTCCGTTTTACACCGGCGTTCATTGACATTTTGTGCACCGTGAAATGTAAGGTTCCCGGGGCAAGAATCGTGTCACACGGATCTCTTTCAGAGGATTGTGGGTAATTTAGCATTAGACATATTTCTGGATTTTCGGATTATACCTCACGATTTCAAATTAAAAAGCTGTGTGTGTGTACAAGTGGCGGAGGCGGCTTGTCGTGATGAGCTGATAAGTTGACTGTCAAAAGATGGATCTTCAATAAAAGAAGCAGCTGTCTACACAAACGGATATCTAATGAATTGAATCACAGAGTTGCACACGTTTTTACGGTCTCATCTGTACACAATAACTTTTTCAAGGACTATGTAGGCTTTTATTATGCGTGCTAAAGGCCATCTGTTTTTGTAACATCTAAGCAGTGTTTGGCACTTTGCGATCCGACCTCTGTTATTTTGCCGGTAAATCTGCGGATGCTATTGGCTGAATCATTCCCGCCCACCTCGGTGGAGAGTGCTTCAGATCTCTCCCAGGTTTCCTCTTATTTATTAGAGTTCACCTGCATCCTAATGACCAGCTTGCGTCGGCCTGTGTTTTGTCAGACACCCACCCGCGTGTGACTCCAAAGGCAAAAGCGAACCCTGAAATCAAGACTGGACACTTGACAGCTATCTCTTGTGTTGCGCCGATGACAAAAACAATCGTATTAAAAAACAGTTAGTGCCGGTTTTTACTGTGAAGCTAATTGGTTGCTTTGCCGTGGAGACCAAGTATTTAATTTTAATGCAACCTTCATTTAACCAGGCAAGCTGATTGAGAACAATGTCTCATTTGCAACAGTGACTGTGGGGAGAAGCTGGAGATTGAACCCAGGACATCGTCAATTCAAAGCATGCACTCTACCACTGAGCCACCATCTCCTCCGAAGTATATCTATCCAATTAAAGATGACAGTCTGCACTGTGACTCCACAGTCATGCTATCATTTCAAATCCAATGTGCTGGAATGCAGAGCTAAAGAAATAAAATGCTGGCAGTGGCCCATTTGTCTGGTGTTCATTGTACGTGTTCATAATAGCAGTAAAACAGGTTCATGGAGACAGCTGTTCTTGTATCCCTGGACTAATTGCGTCGTAGGTGAAACGTCAGAAGTTACTACTTCCTTTACATTCTGCTAAACTAGATTCAACGCGACAGCGTAACCACGGCAACAGTTTGACGAGGAGACGGATGGAGACAGACACTTGCCGGGTGGCGTGAAGTGTTCCTCGCCACGGTAATGAGAGAACATGGCGGTGGTGGAGGAGAGAAAGCGGAGGTGGGCGCTGAGGTGGGGCGTGGAGGGGGGGACTGACAGAGAAAGCGGAGGTGGGCGCTGAGGTGGGGCGTGGAATCAGTGGCAACATGAACGCCATTACCTGCCGTCACAGAGTGATGTAGGACCGACTCACATATGCACAGACTGCATGGGAAAGTCTGTCTGTCTGTCTGTGAGTGTGAGTGTGTGAGTGTGTGTGTTTATGTGTGTGTTTGTGTCAGAGAGAGTGAAAATGTTTCACGTGGAGTAATGCTGCTGATATCTGGGGCTGAAGGGGTGGGCAGTCTGCAGACTCATATGGGTGGAGCTGTGTCTGTCAGTGCTGGGGGAGGTGTGTCTGTCTGCCTGTCTGTCAATTCTGGGGAGGTGTGTCTGTCTGCCTGTCTGTCAGTGCTGGGGGAGGTGTGTCTGTCTGCCTGTCTGTCAGTGCTGGGGGAGGTGTGTCTGTCTGCCTGTCTATCAGTGCTGGGGGAGGTGTGTCTGTCTGCCTGTCTGTCAGTGCTGGGGGAAGTGTGTCTGTCTGCCTGTCTGTCAGTGCTGGGGGAGGTGTGTCTGTCTGCCTGTCTGTCAGTGCTGGGGGAGGTGTGTCTGTCTGCCTGTCTGTCAGTGCTTGGGGGAGGTGTGTCTGTCTGTCTATCACAGTGCTGGGGGAGGTGTGTCTGTCTGTCTATCTGTCACAGTGCTCAGGGAGGTGTGTCTGTCTGTCTATCTGTCACAGTGCTTGGGGAGGTGTGTCTGTCTGTCACAGTGCTGGTGAATGTGTGCCTGTCTGTCTATCCCAGTGCTGGGGGCCCATGAAAGCCTTGAGCTCCGGCCATGGCTGGCAACAGAACCAGAGCTCCAGTAAGGCCGGACAATCCTGTCCAGAGCCTGTGCAATACTCCAACAGAAGGTGTAGTGCCATACTTCTGGAGGCAATAAGGGGCGAACCCCGACTTTCTATGTCAGCGGGGCACCATCGCCCCCGTATAAACCCGGAAGCTTCCGGACTGTTCAGGGGGAGAGACATTTAAAAACTCCCGAGGAGCAGCTTGGGCCCCAGGCAGAAAAACAACGGTGCAAAGGAGATGTGAGCATTTGGAGCGCTCCACAGCAGAGGCGGAGGAGAACGGTCTCCGTGACTACGACTGCAGCTCCCGATTCTCCCCCGAAACTGAGCTGTGACACTACCAGTCACCGAGGCATTGCGGTTTATCGTCTGTTCATTACTCCGTCACCTCTTTAATAAAACCCCCATCCGGGACTCCAAATCCCCAAATAGTGCCCCCTCACCATTACACAATACAAGTCCTCTGTAGTTGCAGTTCGAAACTAAATCCTGCACACTCGTACGTGAACAGTTGATGCAAACATGCAGGTACAGAACACATTACTCTGGAGGTGACATTAAGTGGATTGCTCGTCTTGTCTTGGCGCTACCTGCAGTGCCATAACGGCACCTTCCATTAGGAAATGTTCCCCCCTATGAAACACACAGCAATACCAAAAGGTAGATCAAGGAAGAACGATCGAGAATAAACAGAAGTGCAAGGTGGCCGGTCCTGTCCTGTCTGAGACGTTTTGCGATGTTAAGGCACAATAATAAGTTATAAATCGCAAACGAATCTACAAGTGGAACGATAAATTTAACGTTAGTTCAACAAGCAACGTTGTGTTTCTGAAGACTAACAAGCTCTGTGGTGGAGTACCGTGACGGCCGAACGTTCGGTCACACGACCACACGTTGAAACGTACTCATTGACGCTGGCACTTTGGTCCAGAGTAGTATTTTATTATATTATACGACTAATATAATAACTGAATAGACAAATTACCTTCACTCTTTGAATTTATATTTCCCATTAATGTTTGTAGTGACTAAAAAGTACCTTGTAATAGGCCACTCAACGTTGAAGTAGTCTGCCTTGTGCGTTTGATCATTAATAATGTAAAGACATAAGTGTTTTATAATAATATTTGAATATTTGATTTTAAGGGTCCATAACTGTCCGCCAAGAAGACTGCTGGACGTTGAGGATCTTGCCAAGCCATGCTGTTGCAAGACTGTAGCTAGACTGTAGCTAGACTGTAGCTAGATCGTAGCTAGACTGTTGCAAGACTGTAGTTAGACCGTAGCAAGACTGCAGCTAGACTGTAGCTAGACTGTAGGTAGACTGGAGCTAGACCGTAGCAAGACTGCAGCTAGACTGTAGCTAGACTGTAGCTAGACCGTAGCAAGACTGGAGCTAGACTGTAGCTAGACTGTAGCTAGACTGTAGCTAGACTGGAGCTAGACTGTAGCTAGACCGTAGCAAGACTGTAGCTAGACTGTTGCAAGACTGTCGCTAGACCGTAGCAAGACTGTAACTAGACTGTTGCAAGACTGTTGCAAGACTGTAGCTAGACTGTAGCAAGACTGTAACTAGACTGTAGCTAGACTGTAGCAAGACCGCAGCTAGACTGTAGCTAGACCGTAGCAAGACTGTAGCTAGACCGTAGCAATACTGAAGCTAGACTGTAGCTAGACCGTAGCAAGACTGCAGCTAGACTGTAGCTAGACCGTAGCTAGACCGCAGCTAGACTGTAGCTAGACTGTAGCTAGACCGCAGCTAGACTGTAGCTAGACTGTAGCTAGACCGTAGCTAGACCGTAGCTAGACTGCAGCTAGACGCAAATTCACTGTACCTCTGCGGGCCGACACACACACACACACACACACACACAGAGGTAAAGTGGATCTCCCAGCAAACTTTGGTTTGCTACAGGCTGACTTGTAGTGAGTGACGGGAAAAGAGACAACAACACAGATCAAACAGGCTGTGGCGGGATTATACCGTACTTGAGTCATGTCCAAACGCAGCCTTCGCCACCAAGACGTGCGTGTGTGCCGGCACCCTCCAGAGCGGAGGTGCGACTGTGCTTTGACAGCAACATAAAAAGGATAAGCCTAGCACAAGCAGACAAATCCACACACCAACCCATTTAAACGCAGCTCAAATTAGCGCCGTTTAGACCCCCAGGCGGAGTTTTGAGGGGAACTGGAGGTTTTTGGGTTTGTTTGAGTTCGCAAATGAGTTTATCGGAGAGAGAGAGAGAGATAGAGAGCGAAAGCAAACTTGCTCAGGAAACGCAAGAGAGTGGTCTACAACAACTTGCTTTTTGTTCCGTTATAACTGAAGATTGAGTCAGTGGTCAAGTTAGCATGTGTCCCTATAAGACCTGCTAGCATCTATCTTCACCCCTACATCCCCCTCTCACCTGTCACGGGGGGGGGGGGCTTAGAGCAGGAGCAAGTCAGAGTGATGGAGATGGAGAGAAAAACAGAGATTAGGAGGAGTGGGGAGGGAGCAGCTCTCTGGCCCTGTAGGACTCGAGCTCCGATTAAAAAGCAGATCGAGGAAGATAACGGGGTCATTAATGAAGATCTGGTGTCGGGAGGATTAAGACGGTGCCAAGGTCACGACCTTGGAGATAAGACCGGCATCTGATGTCACGTTAAAGTGGAAGCGCTGGACGTTTGGGCAGACGATTCGTTATGACACCGAAATCCCCATATAAGCGTTGGCAAACGTGCGGCAACGCAGCCATTTAAAATGCATACAACGGAATGCACATCATGGGTGTTGTCCGTTTCCTCTTCGAAGTGCCCATTCAAACAGACCTAACTCCTCCAACGGGTGTTGTGGTAAATCATGCGTAGCTTTACATGGCTACACATACTATATACACATGCTATATACATATACTATAGCATCACGTACGTCGGATAATGCTAACGATAACCTCACTGGAATAAGACAGTTCCCTGCCTGTTCCCCCGTTGTCACGTAGGCTAACCAGAGGATCGTTTTTTGAGACGGTGGTTATTATTTGTTTTACGGTAACGCTGTCACACGCCACTTGTCTCTGGTGTGCATGCAATAACAGGTATGACCCTGACAGACATCGTTTTCAGGGGTGAGAGGAAACGCTTGGCATTTGCTTTGTTTGTCTTCTAACATAATTGTTCATCAGCGTCTCTGGCAGGAAGCATTAGAGGACCTGCAGAGGGGCATTCAGTTTAGTGTGGTGATTAGTGAGGACCTGGAGAGGAACATTCAGCTCAGTGTGGTGATTAGTGAGAACCTGGAGAGGAACATTCAGCTCAGTGTGGTGATTAGTGAGAACCTGGAGAGGAACATCCAGCTCAGTGTGGTGATTAGTGAGAACCTGGAGAGGAACATTCAGCTCATTGTGGTGATTAGTGAGAACCTGGAGAGGAACATCCAGCTCAGTGTGGGGATTACTGAGAACCTGGAGAGGAACATTCAGCTCAGTGTGGTGATTAGTGAGAACTTGGAGAAGAACACCCAGCTCAGTGTGGTGATTAGTGAGAACCTGGAGAGGAATATCCAGCTCAGTGTGGTGATTAGTGAGAACCTGGAGAGGAACACCCAGCTCAGTGTGGTGATTAGTGAGAACCTGGAGAGGAACATTCAGCTCAGTGTGGTGATTAGTGAGAACCTGGAGAAGAACACCCAGCTCAGTAAGGTGATTAGTGAGAACCTGGAGAGGAACATTCAGCTCAGTGTGGTGATTAGTGAGAACCTGGAGAGGAACACCCAGCTCAGTGTGGTGATTAGTG